AAAAAAAAACTCTAGAAACGTTGTTATAACTAACAGTTTATCTCGACCAAGAAACTAATTTTTAGTAATTATTTTAGCATAATCCGTGTACATCCGGTAGACTTAAGTCTGTTAATATAAATGATGTGAAAATATAGAATATCAATGTTTTTATGTCAGAATAACTACTGGCTCATCCGTTATTTTACTTCGTTTCTTCTATTTGTAAAACGAAAACGTGTTTTAGAAATATTGTGGTTCGATGTTTAGGGCAGAGGGGCAGGCATCTCCGACATATTCGGAGAAATTTTCGTGCACAGAAACAGACAGCACTGGGAGACCTTTCAAAATCACATTGCGTTTATTAAAATCCCAGTTCTCTTGTAGATTATAAAAGAACACGGCAATAACGCCATTACTACGCATATTTTAGTCAAAACTTTGGTTTCCTCCAAGCAGCTTTACGCAAAGCAGTTTATTTTCAGATGCACTGTTCCGTGACTAATTGACATGACGCGTAGAAGCAAACAAGCACAAAATATCCTTCAGTTTAATGACGCATGTACTGCTGTCACAAAAATAAATTGTTTTATTATTTATAAATAATTCAATTCATCAAGTATTTTTTCGCATAAATTGAAATAACTATAGCCTGCTGCAAAGGCTGAAATAATTGCCGAACATTTGACCGTTTCAGCTCATTTAGAATGCGCGTAGTTCAACACCCACCCCACCCCCCACCTACCGCCCCTGGGCAATCCACGGGTATTTGACTTTTGTCTGTGCCTGGGGAGTAGGGAATTTGACACAAAAGGCCTTCCTGGGGGTGGGGAATTTGACTATTCCCTGGGTGGGGTGGTGAATTGAACCGGAAGTGTCAAGTCTTTCCAGTGGAATACAAGAGGTTGTTACAGGTATGGCGAAGTTTAAAGGAAAAGAAGTCTCTTTCATTAGTGAATGGCTGACAAGATGAAAACTAGAGTGTACTGCAGTGAAACCTGTATTTAGCGGACACCCTTGGGACCCTCACCAGTGTCCGCTTAATAATGGGTGCTCATTCAAAACAGGTTCTAATATGTCGCACAATAATAGTTAATCATTAACTGTTTTGTAACACATTGTAACACAGTCCAAGATCAATCACTGCCCATAGGAAATTGTCCAGTGAGTCAATGCATCAATCTGGAATAATCACTTAAAATGACATCGCTGAACAATGTTAAAGGAGTCTCAGCTAGAAGTAAAATACCCTTGAAGTGTCCGCTTATTGCAGGTTTGTGCACCAAAATATTAGTGTCCGTGTCTGCTTAACAGAGGTGTCCATGGAATGCAGATTTATTTTACAGAAAATGTGGAAAAAAAATTTTCAGACTTCAGCTGGAGTCCACTTAGTAGACTGGGTGTCCGCCTAATATGGGGTCCCCTTAAATTATACAGGTTTCACTGTATTTGAGTTGTGTGATTTTTAGGTTATAAAGATTGAATAGTCAAATCAATTGCTGGTCGCTGTGTAGAAAGTCACAGTCGCTGATCTTGCTTTTTCATAAAATAGCTGCTGTCTGCAGAGCATGAACCGCACGAATGGCTGAGCATATTTTGAATTGGGAGGGGGGGGGCACTTACAAGCGTGCGCCAGAGGCGCTAACTTGTATAGGGCCTGGAGATATTTGTAAAATTGTTATTTTATGTATTTTTGCTTGAAATTGAGGGGGCTAAAGCCAAAAGGCACTAATGGTAGGGCATTTGAACGCAGTTTTGGCCCAGGAGGCGCAGGAATTTGAACGAGCCAATCTTCAAAAGTTCAAATGCCCGGGTGGTTGCCCGGGGTGGGGGGGGGGTGATGTTGAAGCTTCGAGGTTATTCATCGGCCAATAATCGACGGCACCTACTCGACACGTACATCGGACATTTTGAAAAGTTTTTCAACGTATTAAACAGACCTTTTCTCGAGTACATTCGTTTAGAACGTTCAAACAAATGTTGGACAACAGGAAAAAACAAAGCCTCACCGTTTTCACGGTCATTCCATGGTTGGTTATGTATACAAAACCAACAGTACTAAAAGCATCAAACATCTGCTTCGCAAGCTCTTTCACGTTTGGTTCATTTTCCCCTGGTGTTTGGTCGTGGTCGAGGCTTAACGCACCGAAATCCACGATCGGTATTCTGTTTAACGTGGAACTCATCTCGAAGTAAGACTGAACATGAAAGCGAGAAGAACCTCGATAAACCTTCTGAGCCTTCGTTGTGCACGGAAGCACGGAAGCGCTTCATTCTCTTTTCACTGTCAAATTTCTCGCACGCTCATTGGCTAATTCCTATCGTCGATGTGACGCCAGTACGCGCGGATCTCGTAAGCGTGACAGCTCGAATCTAAAAAGTCCTTTGCAGAGAAAATCGCCTATGTTTTCGGGATATTTTTTTTTAGGATGACTTATTGATTCCCAAGCTTAACTCAGAAAGATTTCAGCTGGGGCAACCCTAACACGAAGAATCGAATCCGGAATACGAAATCCGAAACGGATTATTGATATTAAAGGAACTCAGTCACGGTATTTTGAGTTATTTTGGCAACATACAAAATTACCTATAAATGGTAGGAAACCTGAAAATAACAGTTTAATAAGACAGAAAAACACCAAAGACATAATGATAAACCATAAAGGAACAAGGATGGCTAAGGATGGAGAAGATTCACACGGATTACAAATGACGAATTTGAAAAATTGAGACTAAACTTTTCAATATGGGCAAACCGTGACTGAGCTCCTTTAAGAATGACGACAGAAATAAGTCACTTCAGCAATGTTCAATAAATAATTGGGGGGAAAAATGATGGGTTTTTTGTTGTTGTTGTTGTTTTTTTGTTTGTTTGTTTTTTGCTTTTTGCTTTCAGCTTCAACTACAAACTGTACGCGGTAATTGTGCAAAAGACACAAGGGGTTCGCCCAGTTGTTCAAGAGGTGGATCCGCTGTCATAGGGTAAATCACTATTCAATCAGGGTTAGTAATTTTTCGGGTGGATAGAGCTACCCATCCTTTGTTGAACCTGGCCTCGGAAGGAACACGGTTCTTGTCTAGATTGCACTGCTTTGAGAAGACTGGCGAGTAGCATTATAGCAAAAAGCCTATTCTCAAAGCATTGACATCAAAGCGATGTTTGCGTGCAATGAGTTCATGGCAATCTTTAAGCATCTTTAGCATCATGTGGTCCGATCTGTTCGCAAACGAGGAGAAGACGAATGTAACTGTTCAACCGTTTCTAGAAATCAGTTTCATATGATGGGGGATAAAACTATCGGGTGGTGATTTGCAACACTGTCCAGTGTGAAAATAGTGTTGTTCTGGAATTAATCTTGAAGGTTGGGAAAAACCAACTTATTTAGACGAGCCAAGTTAACCTTTGCGGCATATAGAAAGTGAGAGGCGCGACCGTCGAGGTACAGCTTGCTGCGCGCCACTCGCCGACGGAAACCCTGCTCTCTATGACGTTGCTTAGTTGTACAGTGTCTACTAGACATACCCGCATGCTTACTGCCAGTCTGCTTAATATCAAATTTTGACGCACATGTCGTTTAGATTCTCACTTAGAGGTGAAGTTTGAGGTCCTTTTTTCATTGGCCTTCCGGATTCCGGATTCAGGAATTCTTTTAGGGTTGCCCTTCAGCTGTAAGGAGAAAACAACCGTGCTCAGAGCCCCGGGGGACTCTCATCTAAAACGGACGGCGGTGCTCGTCGGAAATTTTTAAAAGAACCCCTAAGATCCTGTTTTGTGGGCGTAACTTGGAATTTTTTTCACCCCTAAGAGGCAACAATTCCAACACAACACATTCCCTACCATATTCTTTTTCCACTCAATACCCTAAAGGTACCGCAAAGGCTCCTGCTGTGGACCTCTTGAGGCTGAACACCCTAAATGTTACTGAGACCGCGTCTTTAACCCCTAAAGATACGACCAACCGGACCCATCCTTTTTGTATGGAAGTCCCCCCGGGGGGTTCAGAACAAGTTTAGTAATTAAGTTTGCTTCTGGTTGAACTTCTGCCTTCAATGTCTGCTTCTGCTGTTCATGTTATCTATGCTCCGCAGTAAGGTGCTGTTAATTGAGTAGCACCTTTTGTTATTATTATAATAAGAAAGAATGAAAGACTGAAAGAATTATCGAATTTAAACTATCGATGCACAGTTACTCTCCGGTTTTATTCAAACCCGGCTTGACGCTGCCTCAGAGAAAAATGAAGGGGCTACTTACAATATATTAGGATCATTTATTTAAATTTGCTACTGAGATAATGACACAATCACAATATAATAATAACTACTTAATAACCGAGAGTGAGGTCGTTACGGGAAAATCTCAAACAGAGGTCTTGCCGTATTGACCGAGCGATAGCGAGGTCAATACGGTAAGCCGAGGTTTGAGATTTTTCCGTAACGACCGAGCGGTCGAGGTTATTAAGTTGTTTATTATATGGCTCACGAATTAAAGAAAAAAAATTATTCGAGCGGAAGTCGTCAATTTACATCCGGCGATGCGCGCGT